TCCCGGCTTGAGGACGCCATGTCGACAGCATTCCTTGACATGGACTGGCGTCGGGACCCTTGAAACAATCAAACCGAAGAAAAGCTTCGATCGGCGCCGATGACGAGTTCGATTGGATTGGCGGTTGGCATGACCTTCACATTTTAAATACAGGCTTGCATTCACTCAAAAGCAACCTACAACTATGCTATCTTACTCCCCTTATTTCTTTTTTTTTCCCCTTGGCAATTTTTCGCCCCTCTTTGCTGACATTATCTGGACTGTTGGTTGTTTGTTGCCTGCCTGCCTGCCTGCTTGCCTGCTGCTGCTGCTTTGATTTCGTCTCTACCCTTCCCGATTGAATCGCTTGAACCATGTCCCAATTTTTCAATTCATACATTTCTCTCTCTGCTTTTTTAAGCTGTCTTACCTTGTTTTCCGCTTGTTGTATACACACCTTTTTTGTCTCAACATTTTCGCGCATTCCCTAACTGAGGGCAAGGATTGGTTTGTCCCTAACGGCCAATATTTGCTTGTACTATAACACATTTTACATCCGTTATTGGGGCATGCATACAATTTCGCACGGCGGAAATGAGATGGTGCTGGTTTGGGGGAGATTACAAGGTCTTCATTTGGTACACCTGGAGCGGCGTTCTCAACTGCTATCGATTCGCTTCTACTACAATGTTGTTTTGGGGATGTATCACCATATTTGCGGTTCTCTGCGATTTTTTTCAGCCCTACCGTCGTTGTTTTCCCTTCTACTACTATGTTTTTAACCATTTTTATTGTCATCGTCTGGTTTCCCATTGGCAAAGGCAAACATGACACACGGCACGGCACTGCACGGCACGGTACGATAGGCAGCTTTTCTATTTATCGAACTTTCAGGACGGAACACCCATGGCAGAGTTGGACGAAAGAGGATAAAAGTATGCATATATATTTATCTATATGTATCTCTCTATATACCAAAAAGAAAAATCGCCCGTGGCATATTTAGAAAAGTGGTAACGATATATTTATCGTTTTCGGTTTTCGCTCGAAAAAATGCCAGCCACTTTTTTGTAACAGAATCAAAAAAGTGGAAGGGGGTAGTTTAGCAATAGTTTAGCTACTTAGTTGGTCAGAAACAAACAAATATGTTTTTTTTCCTTCGAGAAGTGAAAGTTCTAACAAGTTCTATCTTCATTGCAATATTCAACTCTTTTCGCCAATTTCGATGTTGTTGAATGAGTCATAATCTTCCTTGAAAAAGAGATTGCGCAATTTGCTGACACTCCCATAAGAACCATTGTATTTGTAGTGATTGATCTTGATAACCACTAGTTATACACTCAAAGATACATGTGAATCAATAGCTGAATATGGAGCTCACATGAGAAATATATAGATAGATAGATTGATAGATAGATTGATAGATAGATGATAGATATTTTTTCTACACTAGCTCTGTGCCAGTGCGTCTTGAAGTAGTTAAGCATTTTTATATACTAACTGAGATCCGTTACAAGGCACAGCTTACCCAGGCTTTGTTGTTTCTGATTTATCTGTGCTGTATAAATATAAATCTGTTTCTTCTCTTTCTTTGTAGAGAGAGAGAGATATCTTTCTACCACACTAATTTATGATTGATTAGAATACCAAGCACTGTATCAGGATAGCATGCTGATATCAAAGGCTTGAATAACTATTCAATCAGCATTTATTAGATCAGCTCTGCATCGTCTCTGAAAAAGAGTAGATTTTTTTTTCAAAGAATCAGTTAGAAGACAGAGCGTAGAATGTAGACTGGTTTGAGTTATGCATAAAATAATTGTCTCCATGAAGCAAACTCACTCAGACAGACTTTACTGTTTCTGATCTTTCCCTGTGCAGTTCAGATATGAATTGGTTTCTTCTCTTTCTTTGCAGGGATATTTCTGTTACTAACTGATGGTTAGAACACTAACTACACTGTATCAGTGTGCTGATATCAAAGACTGAGAGGTTGAACCAACATGTGTCAGATCAGGTCTGCATTCTATCATCAATCAATATGTGGTTGATATATGATGTGTTGGCGTTCTCTGAGAAATGGCGGATTTCCAAAGAATCGGCTGTTTGATCAAGAGCACAAAACCCTTCATTCGATACCTTCGACGTCCCCATGTCTAACCCCCTGCCGCAGCAAAAATGGTATCCAGTTTTCAAACCGGAACTTGACACGGTAGTCCACGATCCTCTTGACCCAGACAAACGATACCATGAAGGTATCTTCATTGAAACGAACCCGGAGAATCGGAAGGAAACACTATTCCATGTCACTGGTGACATCATTGCAGCTGGTGGCATGAGGTATGAAGAGAAAGATAACTATACTCCCGGGGAGTCCGCGAGTTTGAACCGATCGGTGTTGATTGGGTGGGTTCTCAAGGCTAATTATGATTCGGGGAGAATCAGTGCTATTTTGAAAGCTTTGCCAACGCCGCCTAAACAGCAAGGGCTAAACTTTTGGGCGGAGCCTGGTAGAATGACTGAAATGATTTGGACGAAAGAGAGTGGAGAGCGCTATGGGCCTGACGAGCAACGTCTGCCCATCTTCAAATGTAATGAATGGACGAACAACCACGCAATCCCAGCATTGCGTGAGGCTGGAATTTTGAGAGAAAGTGTCTAGGCAAAGAGTACTATGTTTTTTATTCTTAGCAGGATAATTTTTATTGTCAAATTAGCGTCCCCAGCCCAGATCCTTGTCAACCATACGCATTATGGCCAGCTCAGCGAGAGGTACTTGCAAAAATTGTTGGACTCGCCAACACCACTCCTCTTCCCAGTAGCACATATCAAATAGTGAAGCTGCGCAAAAGAATTCCCAGAAATCTGGATACCAACCTGCTCTCTCCCAATCCACAAGCACAACATCGAATGATCGGCCTCCTTGGTCATTCAAATTCTCCACGACCATGATGTTCTTCTGGTGGACGTCCCCATGCGTCAAGGTTGGCCGGCGATCTTGAAGCACGCTAGCAAGGTGGGTTTCGTATAGGCGGACCTTATAGTCCGGTCGACCATTACGTTCGGTCAAGGCTCGAAAATTCCAGCGAGGCCCGCAGCAAAGGCAGCTCCACCATGAAAAGGTCCCAGATGCTTCTGATCACCCTTCGTTTGGCTGTAGAATAGGTAGTGATATACACCACCGCCATCCAACCCTCCGAAAAAGTTGGGCCAGGGACACTCGGCTTGCCGCATAGTATCGAACATCTGGCGGAGTTTGGCAACAATGTCGTCTTTTTCGGAGGGGGTCAGCGACGGCCATATCGAGTGAAGTCGCGCCCCCGGAATACGCTGCATAACCAGGAAGACCTGATTAGATTCTTGGTACATCGCGTACAGTCGCGGAGCCGAAACTTGGGGGTACGTGCTTTTCAAGGTACATCAAAGCCTGGCCTTCCCAGGCGTTTACGCTACCACCAAATTTGACAACAACCTTGTCGTTTACTGCAACAATCTTGTCGTAACAGCGTTCCCATAGAATGTCAGAGCAGGATCGGATTTCATCCGTAGTGGGTAGAGTAGGTAGAGGCAGGGAGCTGTTCTTGAATGGGAGCGAGACTGGTTCCCACATCTTGACGAGAACAGGAGTCGATTGGGAGTTGACTGAGGATGGGTGTTGTTGTTGCATGAGCTTGGGCTCAGAATAAACCTCCTCAGGAAGGTTCCAAATGGATGGAATAAAGAGATCACATGATTTTCTTAGAGGGTGGGATAATCCAACCAACTTAGCGCCCGCTTCCACCGAAGTCAACAAGTGATATCCCAACATCCAACCAGTTACGGATAGAAGGGTTTGGATTGGTTCGTCCCCTCGACTACCTACATGGCGCTGGTGGTGAACGAGCTCTTTTGCCCCAGTAGCCTAGAATATAATCATGAAATCTGAGACTAATGTAGTGGAAAAATCGTGCCTTATCCATGCGTTATCGTGTTCTTAGCATCTCCTTGACCCAGGCCTCGAGACCAATGCCTGTATAGCAAGTCAAGTTCCCTTCGGCGTGCGTATACTTACTGAGGATTAGCCTTCAATAAATGACACACCTCTAAAGGTATTGTTCCCTCATCTAGATACCATAAAAGACCGATAAGAATTGAATTCAAATACAGAAATCATTACTGTTCATAAATTAGCTTATTAGTTTTCATCTTGTCAGGAACGGACGATGTCCAAAGATTGCCCCAAATTACTGAATATCCATTGAATTATAAGAACCAATGATGGGCTTTGATAATTATATGAAGGGATTGCAGTATTTATGGGGAAGCGCATGTGTAAATATAATACAGGACTAGGTTGGGTTTCAAGATAAAAATGAGATACATTGTCTCCGACGCATCTATTAATATTGTAATGGTTAAACCAGCAGGGCTCAAATAGCAAGTTTACCCTCATACACAATAACGGCTGCCGCTGTTATTGGAGCTCGCACCCTATATATAGCTAAGCCCTCCGGGGAATGTCTAGGCCCCTAACCTAGGCATTACAGATAAATTGACTCGGAATATCAATGTAAAGGAAAAGAGCATTCATATCAAAGATAAGGCGTTCTAAGAAATAAATTAGCTCCTAGAGAAGCACAGTGATTTCTCCAGACAGCATAGTCTAATATAAAAAGGGATGAAGCTCTGAAGGAGATTGCTGTGGTCACTCAAATCTCTAAGAATCTACCCTGAAATATCCTTACTAGTGGATTGAATCTCCAGGCCACGCGACCTGGGATTTAGGCATTGAGCTAGTGGGCAAGCTAGGGGCATGGGCCTCTATTAGCCCCCTGGGCCTCCCTATCAAAGAGATGGAACAGCAATACTTAATGCCGGTATCAGCATTTCAGCTTAAACTCTTGGCGCAAGTCAAAACTTTTCGGAGGAGCCTTTTTATATCATACCAGATCTAAGGAGACGGCAGAGGAGTGGCTTTGTCCAATTCGCGGGTGGCGGCTCCCTTGGCGTCCCACATGGCGCGGGCTTGGTCGTTTGCTGCTCACCGACTCCGATGGTTTAAGGTCACACCGGTGAAGAAAGATAAAATTGCCCATCAAACCCAAGAAATGGAAACGAGAAGAGACGATTGATGATAAGCCCATTTCCTCAGTTTCTTCAATTTTCCTTTTTAAATATTTATCTGCAGTCTCCACGCGGCCAGTAGCCATTGGTTTTACATATTGATCTCTGCACAAGGCTCCTATTCGCCCATATTGACATGCTCACCTCACAGCAAACCTGCCCGGCCCTTGGTCAGCTCTTTATCTGGTGAAGTCCCCTTTGAAAAATAAGGAGAGAAGCAACAGGGTTCCTTGTGCCACCAAACTTTCTTCTGGATCTTAACCATAATCGCCGGGACACAAGGTTCGCAATTCTGCGGTTCTTCTAAATCTGGACGGGGGGCAAAGCCACTTTCGACAAATAACGCTCATATATACTCTAGTTGCGCAATCTCTCCCTCTTCATCTCCTCCCTTTTTCTTTCTTTGCTTTTCTTTTTTGGCCTTATCCGTACCTATCGTTTGCGACCTCGACCTCGACCTCTCATTTTAGGGTCCAGCGCCGAGAAAAAGCCCTGCGCAGCGACTTGTAGACGGCTAGGAGATATCGCAGAATGTCGTTTTGATTGCTGTTGATCCAACCGGAAAATAACTAGGAAATGAAGAATGGGCTATCGAACTGGCCGTGGAGGGATCTTTGTTGAATTTTTACGGCGCTGGAGTTGTCAAGAAGGAACCACGTATCTGTCGCAGGGGAATTCGGACGTTGAGCAAGGTCAGATTTACATCTCAGGGGTTTCCCTTCCTCTCTTACTGCCATTGCTATGGTAGAACGCTCTCCCAGAAGGGGTTGTTTGGCGCTTCTCGAAGAACTATTGTTAACCACATATTTCTCACATAATAGGTATTTTGAAGCTTGGGTTTGCGGCCGGTTATTTTATAATCCTTCGTTCATTTCCTCCTCCGTGAAATTACGTGCGTTTCCTTGATAAAATATGGCCTGGAATTTTCGTCTTTTCCGGCAGCACGTCCATACGGAATGTCGAGCTACTGATAACCTGCTATACTTTTGGACTATTGCTCTACTTGCTGCTGTGCGCGCTGGGGGAGATATGGATTCCAAGAATCATAATATTAGCCCACTTTCATTGGACGCAACTTGTCCCCCCAGAGCCTTCTCCGGTATTCAACACCCTGTCTGCTTAGAGCCCAGGTGGGTGGGCATTGGGAAGATCGAAAATTATACATCTAATTCATCTGGTGAAACGGATTTTTACGCGTCGATCACCTCTGCGGCTTCGTCCTCGCTTTCGCCAACTATAACGGTGACTGGATCAGGATCAGGATCAAGTGGTGTGGACCAGGAGTTAGATACGGAGTCGCCTCTTGATAATGCGAATTTCCTTTCCTTTGAAGAGTGGAAGAAGCAGAACTTGGCGAAAGTGGGCCAATCGGTAGAAAATGTTAGGGGTGATCGTCAAAGTGCCGAATCCTCCGGTGACGGAAAGCGTCAGCGTCCCATGGGGATCGATAATTCTTTGGATTCCCTTGGTGAAGACGGAGAGATTGCCTTGGAATTCGGTGGATTTGGGCCTGAAGATTCTGGGCCTGCGTCATGGGAAAGGAAAGTCGAGAAAGATCAGCCTC